TTGATATTTTGCCTTGCGAACTTCTGTCTTTTTTTTCTTCTAGTGATGGAAGTAACATTTTTCAAAATACTGTTTCGCATTATTGATACCTAACCGTAATTGGTTTGTCGTCATTTCAGTCTGAAATATACATCCGCGAATAATAGTTTTTTTGTCTTGCTTTTTATTTATACAATAATCGGTTTAGCTGCAGTATTATAGCCACTTTTTCTATTGTGAACCATATCTTCTTTTGTCGGGAGCCATTTAGTCACGTGATATCTTGGACTCTATCCATGGAATCATGATGGAGCTGTGGATCTCAATGTAACACGACTCTCTTTGATGTCTCGGAATCACTTCTTGCACTGGTCACCTCTCCGCCTCTTCAATCACTCTTAAGATAAACTGACATTGAGCGGTGTATGAATCGCTGGGACTACAGACGTAACGCATGTTAATGCCAGTATCATAAGATGACCACACTTAATGAGTAATGATCCTCATCACGCCCAAACACACTTCACCTCAACTAAGAATTACTTATATGATGTTTCCACCGAATGCGACCAATCCTGCGGAGACAGCGATGATCTAAAACGCAGACTCATCGTACATCGTCATCTCGAAGAGACCATGTTTCACAAACGTAAAGCCGAACTGCCCTTATCGCCGAGTCGTATACCCGACTTTATACAGTGACGTTAGTTAACATCATGACAGTATCAAAGGTGACCCAGCTAGGCATATGCCACTTTAACTCTTCACTTGGAAATCTCCTTAGTAACAACTCTAGTATCCATATAACTACGAGAATAGTAAACTTCCAAAAATAACTCGTCATCGGCTAAGAAGTCAACCTCAAAACCTACCATCGGATTATCGTACGCTAACGATATCACGATTAAATTATTGAAGCCTTTTGGATTCCTTGTATCTCATAAGTCCACGAAATCTCTTCAGACTCTGTTATGCAGGCCAAAAGATACAACAACAAAGGAAGACAAACCAAACATTGTCTACAAAATAAACTGCGGAAAACAGTAGATCGGACAGATTTATTGCCCTCTTCGCATCCATCTTCGTGAATGTCAACTAGCACTGAAGTGTCATGACATACCTTCGCTCATATCAATGCATACAGACAACAACTGTGGACATGAATCTGACTGGGAAAATGTGAAAATCTTGAATAGAGGAAAGATAATGAATGTGAGAGAATTTTTAGAAGCTTGGTATTCAGATCAGTCAGCAATCAACAAACATATCAACACTGATCCACTCTAGCAACCAACAGGAAACAACAAGGAGGTCAAATTCCATGTCACCAGGACAGCCAATAAAAATTAACACGAAGACAACGATAAGAGCTTGGCAGAAACAATCAATCACACACAAGGCTATCAGACAAGCTAGTTAATAAATTGAGGAGAAAACATTATTGCTCACTTCTTCCTGAAATTTGTGCTGATGATATTGTTCTGGCATATTCAAACTCATAAACATTTACAATCGATTTAGAGGAAACCTTATAAACTCGTTGGTAGTAAATGTGCTGTAACCAATCACAATTCCGTGTGTTGTTGCGTACAATGGCTCGTGGGTGGTGGGTTGTTTTAGTTTCATTTTAGTCTGTTTATTAGACGTTTGACATAGCGGGTCAGTGTTATTTACTGGATGATGTTTTGGACATAGTTTATTGTCCAAATTCACATTAGGTAACTTCACAACTTAGAGACATGGTTTATATAGTTATAATCCTCTCCTTCGTTATGATGAGGTTAGTAGACATTTCTATATATCTAGGATAGGCTCAGAATCATTCCTATTGTATTTATTTAATGTTGGTTCGACCTACCTCTCCCTCCATTCACTTAAGTTAGTTTTTAATACTGTCGCTCAATCCCGCCCTATTGTGTGGTTGTGTGCAGTTGCATGCATAGCTATACCTGAGCTTTTCTCCAAATACCTTGTCTTATGGTGATCTACTAATCTTGATTTAGCTGGTCTTTTGTGCTCTCATGTTTTAATTGACACTGGTCAACTGATCTGACCTAAGTATTTGATCTCTCAATCATTGCAAATTATTTTTAAAAGGATGAGAAAAAAAAGGAATTAATGAATTCATAAATCTCAGTGCTACTCACCAACTGGATACTCTACATAATTGATTATAGATTCCAACAAGCAGCGCAAAAGAACTTACATACATACATGAATAACAATTTTGGTGTAACAACGTAGAAATGAATAAATGTTTTGTAGGTCAATTGGTAATGCAAAAGGTAGGAGTGAATAGGTTGAAGATAGATTACACAATCGATTATGAATTTGGATAGAAGTTTAGCATAAAGAATCATATGGATTTCAGGCAAGAAAATAGCAATAATAACATCACGGACTGACATCAGTTGGAGAACGATTGAAACCTGGGAGCACTGGACAGCTTTTCCGTCAAAAAGAAATTTTTCTTTTCCTTACGTCGCTTTTTGAAGCATTGTAATATAAGTGTGTCATTTGACTGCTGAATTATTACGTTTTACTGAGAACTGTGCTGGGCTCGAATTCAATTTAAGTATTCTTGTGAAAAACTATGTTGTACCAAGAACAGATAGCATGATGATCACTAGTAGAATTGTGCACTGACATGCAAATCCATTTACAGAGGACATCATGTATCATTAAAGTATTGATGACTGAATGTGTATCTACGTACTTTTGATGATTCCGCTTATATAGATTATAGTTCAAGTGTTCTACACAAATGATGTCAAAAGAATGTATTCACTCCAGTGCATTAAAAAGTTAGCCAATTTCGACTAGGGAATTGGCTAGATGCTTGACGTTAAAGTGAAATTCTTTAATCCAATTGGTATTTTCCCACTCTTTTTCAACACTTTAGTAAATTTGAAGGCGAAACAGTCAGTTCACAAAGCCTTTAAGTATCAAACACAGATATAGTCAAAATCCAATAACAACGGATGGTAGTAGTTAGTTCATATTCGCTATTCTTTACATCTATCTAACAATATTTTTACTGAAGACAAGCTTTAACTTGACAGTCACAACGTAGGACATAATTTCAGATTGAACTACTAAAAGTTAACTGGAAAATTTAGAGTATTCGGCGCGATAGAGCAGCAGCACAGTGTACATGTGTTTTCCTACAAACTTGATTTTTCATTCACAAAGATCACGAAGCCCCTCTACGCATCACGCTCATTGCATTCATACGTTAGAGTAGTTGGAACTTCTTTCACGACTGCTGTTTATGAAGGTTATTTCCCAAATGATAAGCTGCAAGGTTAGAATGATTTATTTATCTATCGGTTGTCAAACAGATCAATCGAAAATAAGGAAATAAAACAAACACTTAGCTGTTATCCACCCTACAGAAGATGAGTCCTGATATCAACTTGTGAAATGACCACGCGTTGGCTGGAGCCAAAAGCGCAGATCAGTGTGATATAATGAAACAATATGTATTCGTAATGGGTGGCGTCTAGCAGTTGAATCCGGGATCTGTGATTTGCCGTATCTGGGAATCATCATCTAGATTTACCTGTTCCTAGTGAGTGCTGTAGTCCTCACCATGACTCAAATCCAGAACCCATGGTTTCAAACATCAGCGAGTTATTCACTAGGATACTGAGCCACGATAGGCACTCGTTGAACAATGGGTATAGTTCGACGCAATAACCTGTAATTTCACTCACTGGGAGGGAGGTACATCCAGCTGATGAGATTGAAGTGCGACGAAACGCGCATATTGGATACCACTGTTAGTGACTACTCATCATTGTCATTAGACTGAAATTACTGACAATATGGAGGTTTCTGCGCTGGAGCCCATATTGCCCGATCAATTCGGTTCAACCAAAGACAGAATTATGAGCCATAACATCGAAATAATTTGTAATCAATTAATATTAAGATCAAACCACAAGTTTTCCATTTTTTACTGACATTAACCTAGTGTCTATAAGAAATGAAGATGAAAGTTTGAAAAATGCTGGTTAATCAGTATCCCTAGAATGTGAACAAGTTTCGAAGATAAATATAATTGGTTAGTTGGTAGAAATCCGCCTTCATAGATGCTATGCAAGGGAGACTTTTGAGCAGAATCAATAGGGAAGGTAAGCAATTTTGAAAAATCAATTAACATATTTCGACAAAAAGAAGGAAATCGAAAAGGAGGTCAACTGAATGAGATTTAGGCTAAATTTAAGAAAAAACTATTTAAACGCATTAAGAGTATTTCAAACAAAGAAAGTAATAAGAATTTACGTTGAAACGACTCAGCCACTCCAAGAAGTTTTACGAAGGCAAATTTAGAAGCTGTAAATCCTACTCCATGGATCTACTAACAGTCATACATTCAGAATCCAGAAAGGAAAAAATAAAAGAACTAGAAATGTACTCAGAAACCACACCCGTATTTGCATAGTAGACAATAAGCTACACTTACTTTTTGATGGTTTGTAATACTGGGTAGGTGCAGTGGAGTTCGATTTCATGTTTTCAGTATGGTGACTGTATGCTTTTCTTTGCAAGTAAATTACGGTTGAGTTGCAAGACTGAGTTTTGACACGCCCTGCTGATGACCCCGTGATTTCCACTTTAGGACAGCGTTACATCTCAGAAGAAGGTTGATTTGTCTGGCAGGCTGCTCTGTTTTGTAAGTTAATTGACCTGACCTGTGGGTTCAGGAAGAACCAGTTATTATTGTAGCATTGTCTTCGAAACTACTTTTGTGACCGTATTAGGTTTTGTTTTATCTTTACTTGATGGGTGACAATTAGTTTCCTTTGTATTTTTATTTGAAATTAATCACGAGTTTACTCGTTTTAAACGGTAAGTTTAATATTGTTATTCTTGTTATTAATATTAGATGTTGTTGGAGGTGATGTTTTTATTTTGATGGTGGTGTTAGCAGTACTAATACTCCTTCCCACCTCCGTGATGCTGTAATCCCAACTGAGGTCATCGTTTTCTCTTCAGCTCATTAATAGATCGCTCCATCAGCAACTTGCCCACTGTCTTCCTAGGATTAAAAAACTAATCATAAAATGATCATTTTGGGATGGAAGCATTTCCAGTTCAGGAATTAGACCAATCTGACCAGAGTAGAATGTGAAGTACTCTGTACTTGAAGGAGATGAACAATCATCTGATTGAACAAAGGACAAGGGGACAGCTATTGCTTGACTATACGGTCCAATATTAGCTGGAGCCCAATGTGAAATTGACTGAACATACAAACCTCGAAGGGAGTCAATCCACCCACAGATATCCACATTACCATAATAGATTATAGCAGACAAGTTAACGCAAAAAGCCTCCTTGGAATGTACAGAGATTTCATGTGATATCTGGAGAAAATTTTAAAAAGAAACACGTGAGGTATCCAGTTAAATTTGTTGGATGACAAACAGGTAGATGAACTAACGTGGAAGCTGTAACAGAGGTGTATCAGTTTAAGTTGCGAAACTTTGAAAGTGTTTATACCCAAAGGTGCAAATACTACTAAGTGTTTAAAGGAAATCACCACTTGCTTAAGATTCATTGGTTCTCTCAAAGTTTACACTTACTTTTACCGATATTAAAGTTGCATTCTGGCTTACGAAATGAAAATTATCGCACTGCACTTGAGATGTCTGAAGTGCAAATAACGTATTGCATAATGAGTACATTGACTTGAAAATACTTATTTTTTTTATCAGATCAGAAGATAAGTAATTTTACAAACATACTTGTAGAAAATGGTGTTTTACAAATGAAAGCAACAAACTAGAAAACAATGGTCACTCGAAATACACCCTCAGCAAAACTCACACCAAAAGACGGTATTTAGACAGGAATGAACAGAGCATTGATGAATCACGCAGTAAACAAAGAGACAATATCTCACTCATCAAGCTACACTGTCATATTGATTTTCAAAAAGAAAAAACAAATATTAACATTACTCATCTCTCAACTACAACCAATGTAATGCTACCTTACATGAAACGACTAAGCACAATGCATTCAGATCTAGTTAATCCCAAAGAGAAATCTATGAATTGATTTGCAACGATCACATAATAGATGCTAACCCATTCCATATACGACTGGGCCGAAAAGTCGATTCTGAATCAGTTCAGACGTCATCACAGAGTTTAGATTAACAGTCCCGACCGCTACCTGCTACCTTGACGTGGTGGTCGGGCTTGCATATCACAATGACCCAACGAGCTGTCCTGGTGGAACACTTGTTCCCTCGAGGTACTACTATACCAGAAAGGTCTGTTGGATAATGGTTAGACGAAAAGCAGTTACCGTTGTGGTGTAAATCATTACACTATGATGGGGGGTCCGAGGGCGAAGTCGTACTGCCACTAGTTGGACGAGGTGTGACAGCATTATGGTGTTTCCCTTGGATGATCAGCAGTGTCATGCTGACGCTGCCTTCTCAGTGGAAGTGGGAGGGTTAGAAAAGATCGGTCCCAAAAATAACACACTCCATCACACCCGGCAGAGTTGGTTCATTTATCGTTTGTTTTCGACCATCCGGCCCAAAACACCAAAAGTTTAAAACAACCATACACAAAAGGCTGAGTGTAACAGGCCTCGAGCAGATGTCCGATGGGCTCAGTGGTCACGCAAATCTCTTCCAGGTACCTTGAGAAGAAATAGCCTCCCACGGTGTGGGCAGCCGGGAAGCGTCAACCGCCCTCACAACTCTATTAGTACTCAAGTTTCCTCAGACTACTACCGACCTCCTACCCCATCATTACCTTCCAATCCTCCCCCATGCCTCTCACTTAACGATACTGCATCTTCTTCAACTTCTCCTAGCTCTGCAGCCTTCGACAACGATCTGAGTCCACAAAACAGCATCTTTGGTCTCCTTAAACTACGCTCCAAATTATACATCGGGCCTTCAATGTCCGCACCCTCCATCAAATTGGTCAACAGGCTCCGTTGGCAAAGACTCTAGCAACTCAAACCATGGACTTGTACTGTATTTGTGAGATGAGACACGCATACAAGACCCAAGTGCGGTTATTCACCTAACCTCTTGTCATAACCACAGAGGAATCAGCCTGACGAACATGGTGTCTAGAATTCTAGGTTCTATAAATCTTCGAAGCCTGAGTGGAGTTCAGGAACAGCAAGCCCGAGAAAACCAGGCAGGCTTTAGATCCGGCCGCGGGTGTGTCTACCAAACTTTCACACTGCGCCAGGTTTCTGGAACACAAACACGCTTACCGACGCCCGACAATAGCTGTATTTCTCGACTTGAAGGCGGCGGCATTCAACTCCGTCGGTCGAAAAGTCATATGACAATGTCTCTCATTGAAAGGCGTGCCGAGTAAGTACATCACCTTATTTATTATTGAAGGCTCTCTACTCGAACACTTGTGGGTGTGTTAGAGCCTATGGCGAGATGTCCAGGGAGCTATGCTCATTGAGTGGTGTCCGTCGACGGTGCCCACCCTCTCCATTCTTATTCAATTTTATCATAGATATTCTCATGGAGGTCTCCCTCTCGTCACCTGATTACATAGAGGTTGACCTAATCGCGGGAGAATTTTAGTTAGACCTAGAATATGCAGATGACATAGTCCTGTTAGGTGAAGACGCTGACAAGATGCAGAGCCTTCTGGACACTTTGAGGATGTTTGGGATGCGTTTTCACCACCCAAATCCAGATTATTGCTACAGGATTGGTCTTCATGGTGCCTCGGCTAACAATAGAGAGTGAAGTGGTTGAGTGTGTCGACCACTTCACTTACCTGGGAAGTAGGGTCAGTCCTGGTGGCTCACTGGTCGATGAAATCTCCGCACAGATACAAAAGGCCCGGCTGGCTTTCGCTAACTTACGCCACCTGTGGTGCCGCCGTGATATCCAATTGTCTATTAAGGGTCGCGTGTACTGCACAGCAGTCCAGTCTATTCTACTGTATGGCTGTGAAGCATCCCCATTGAAGGTGGAAGATATGAGAAGGCTGGCTTCAGGTGTTTGACCACCGTTGCTTTCGTAGTATAGGCCGTATTCCGTGGTGTCACCGGGTGAGTAACGCAGAAGTCAGGCTCAAGTGTAAGGTTTTAGGGGGAAGCGGTAAATCAATTGTGAACATTTATCGACTGAGATGGTTAGGACACGTGTTATTACATATGCCTGCCTAGTCGCCGATCGCCTCGTCACACAATGTTGGCTGAAGTATAGGTTCAGGCTGGAAAAAGGCTCGAGGCAGGTAGCCTAAAACATGGCATCAATGTATGAAGTCTTTGACTCTTGGTTTGAGCCATGTCGGGCGATGTAGACTGGGTGGTTGGGGTTCGTGGGCAGGAGAAACCAGTGGTTGGAGACTCTAGGTGATATGCCTGAGAATCGATGTCAGTAGCGCAGATGTATATACACATTATTCTCATCTTAACGACGCTATACCGAATCTCACCATTTTCTCATTCTTCCTTTCTCTCTTTTCGTACTTTATATTTCTTCTGACTGAATTTTCTTATCTTCACCTTGCACTTCACTGGCTTTTTACTTGATATACTGATATGAGTTGTGGCAACTCGGAGCGTTACGCAGTAATGCCTGGTCCTATGTTGATTTGGATGGATGGATTAGATTAACAGTCAATGACTTAATAGCGTAGCATCCTCATGAAGTGACCCACAAGCCTCTTCTATCTCACCTTTTAAGTAGACTAGCAAAGCGAGTTGTGCTAGTCGGTATCAACGTAGAAGTAAAATATTTATCAACCAACTCAACGTGATCTGATCATTCGATTTTGCCTCTTTGTGCAGCACTTCAATTCTGAACTTACACCTCACAAGTCTGTTCCAAAAGACGTGATTGGTGCTGTGAAGGAGTTTGCGACCAATGTTTTTAACTTCCTCTTGGTTTCTCCCTCAATGATTGTGACTTATAAAAGTAAAGAATGACTACATGTATCGAAGAGCAGAAAACTCAACCGTTAAGTAGGCATTATGATAAGTCACCTACATCGCAGGTGACGTAGATCAGTAAATACCGAATCAATATTTGACATCCACAACAAAATTTCACCAGCCATCTATCAAACACGGATGGTACGACACTACATTTGAATCAATTAATCTTCTTCGTTTTTAAACGTATTATCGATGGAGATCAGTTCTGGAGCAACTATTTGCATTTGGATGTTGAAAACATCCTACATATTTTTACATTGTTATTTCGACTGGAGAGACTACTCCCCCTGATTGTCATCGTTGAACAGAATCATGACGAATTAGGATTAGAAACACGCAGGAAATACAACAACCCTCGAGAAGGCAGATCAGGAAAGACCAACTGTTAGAAGTAAATCTACATAAAATTTTCTACGTCTATCAAGCAATATTCCAAATAACGAAAAATTTACCGATTCCAACAACATAAAGCTGGGAAACAACTAACGTCAAAGAAAAGATCTGTACCATTTGAATAGACAGAGAAAACAGGGAAGCAATAACAGAATAGTCAAAAATATGCATTTCTTAGTTGAAAATATTTGAAAAGACTTACAGAATTCATGCAAATACATACACGTGTTGGCATATATGAAGAAACAACTTCATGTTCCCGGCTGGTTTTATTATTCACATCTTCACGTAACCACCTGTCCAACTGGAGAGCATAAGCTTTATTGAATGTGTTGAATACATCTGAAGACAGAGACTGGTTTAAAACGGCAATGATCTGCAAAATCTGTTGAGGTCTAATCCCATTCGAAGCTGAAGAACAACAAAAAAAGTAGGTCCTAAACAGTTAAGGCAATTCAATGAAAATGAATACATGCAAAATTAATAAGAAATAATACAAATATCACTCAAAAAATCAACATATCACCTCGCACAAAAATGTACAATCTCAAGTTGCCACACTTCACAGTATTACACACAGAATAGACGTACAGAAAAAGAGAGATATTAAAATGGATAAAATTATATGAAAGAATAAACAGTGTGAAAATAAAAGCTAGAGAAAATATCCAAGCATTCAAAAACGCCAAAGACACCTGCGCTATTAAAACCAGTTCTCAGTCACGTCACCAAGAGTCATAGAACACTAAAAACTCTCATCTCCCAGACCCCGACCAGGCACCTTACATCGCCGCACACGACTAAAGTCAAAAGCGACAGAAATCATCGACGGCTACCAAGTCTTCCTGTGGCACAACCTGACGAAAATTGAGGCTGCCTTTCGTACCCATGCTGAGCTTTCGTCTGACACTGACCAACTAGGGCTGATCCGACTTCCCAGGTAAGTAAAGTAATCGACGCGCTCAACCTCCTCACTCTCGATTTTTAGGAAGGAGAGAAAGTGAAGACTAGTCCTGGAACAACAATTTACATTTGGTGGTGAGACATGAACCCAAAAATTCTCAATTTGTCAGTCGATGTGTCCGGAAGTCCCTATATCTTATCAGGGTTTTCACATAACGGGACTACGTCATCTGCATACTCTATGTCTACGTCTGGTAAAGATTCTCCTGTGATGAGGTCGATCACTGTGAAGGCAAACCATGACGGAGACCTCTGTAAGCACGTCTAGAAAGTTTCATTGAGAACGCAGAAAGTGGATACACCTGGTGGAAACCACTCCTCTGTTATTTCACCACAGATCCAGAACATCCTTACGATTCGAGTACAGAGCTTCCAATGAGGAATGTACATACTCGGAACCCCTTCCAGTGAGAGACGCTACCATAAAACCTATCAATCTATGGAATTGAATGCCGCCTTCAGGTCAAGAAATACAGCCAGTGTCCAGCGTTGGTAATTGTGCCGGTGTTTCAGCACCTGGTGAAGAGTGGATATCTGGTCTATACACCTATGGTCAGATCTGAAGCCTGCTTGCTTTTATCGAGTTTGCTGTTCCCGAGCTCCCCTTCGTTGCCAGATGATAATAGAACACATAATCTCAGAAACCATGTTCGTCAGGCTGATTTCCCCTGTAGTTATTACAAGAGGGCGAATGGACAATCGGTGGTTGAAACCAGTCGGAGGGGATCATGTCTGACTTCAAAACAGTAGCTAACACTTCAGTTAACTTGACCCATAACCCTCTACCACCGTCCTTAAATACCCCCGGTACTGGTTTGTCTTACCCTGCTGCTCTTTCTTCTTGCAGATTGCTTACAGATTTCTCGACTTCTTTCTATAGGTGTCGGAGTGCTCCATACGGAATCTGACTGGATAGCGGGAAAGAAATAGTAGCTGATCCTTGAAGCGTTCCGACCACCGTTCCAGTCGTCTCCCCTACGAGTGAATCACAGGCCCGTCCTCCTCCATTGTTGTCTAACTAACCACCGACCTTAATAAATTCAAATAAATGTCCATTGTTATTTGTCACCACTGCTTTTGCCATCTTTCCAGCCTTCTTTGTCCACCACTGTTCGCAGTGACTGCCAAGACTTCTTGTCAGTCTACATTTGGGCTGCTACCGCACCTCATCTTGCTCGGAGCCTGAATCAACGACAAACCAATTATAGTTAGGCACCAACAATCTGAAACAGATACCTAAAATAAAAGTATTTTGAAAAATGCTACTTTCATCACTAGTAGAACAAAAAGACGGATGCTCGCAAGGCAACAAAAAAACATCAAAAGGAAATCGAAAAGGATTAAAAAGGAAAAGAAAACCAACAGGAAAAGTCCATTGACCCTCTATAGCCGTTCTCTGAGGCTGACGCTGCCTTCTCAGTGGAAGTGGGAGGGTTAGAAAAGATCGGTCCCAAAAATAACACACTCCATCACACCCGGCAGAGTTGGTTCATTTATCGTTTGTTTTCGACCATCCGGCCCCAAAACACCAAAAGTTTAAAACAACCATACACAAAAGGCTGAGTGTAACAGGCCTCGAGCAGATGTCCGATGGGCTCAGTGGTCACGCAAATCTCTTCCAGGTACCTTGAGAAGAAATAGCCTCCCACGGTGTGGGCAGCCGGGAAGCGTCAACCGCCCTCACAACTCTATTAGTACTCAAGTTTCCTCAGACTACTACCGACCTCCTACCCCATCATTACCTTCCAATCCTCCCCCATGCCTCTCACTTAACGATACTGCATCTTCTTCAACTTCTCCTAGCTCTGCAGCCTTCGACAACGATCTGAGTCCACAAAACAGCATCTTTGGTCTCCTTAAACTACGCTCCAAATTATACATCGGGCCTTCAATGTCCGCACCCTCCATCAAATTGGTCAACAGGCTCCGTTGGCAAGACTCTAGCAACTCAAACCATGGACTTGTACTGTATTTGTGAGATGAGACACGCATACAAGACCCAAGTGCGGTTATTCACCTAACCTCTTGTCATAACCACAGAGGAATCAGCCTGACGAACATGGTGTCTAGAATTCTAGGTTCTATAAATCTTCGAAGCCTGAGTGGAGTTCAGGAACAGCAAGCCCGAGAAAACCAGGCAGGCTTTAGATCCGGCCGCGGGTGTGTCTACCAAACTTTCACACTGCGCCAGGTTTCTGGAACACAAACACGCTTACCGACGCCCGACAATAGCTGTATTTCTCGACTTGAAGGCGGCGGCATTCAACTCCGTCGGTCGAAAAGTCATATGACAATGTCTCTCATTGAAAGGCGTGCCGAGTAAGTACATCACCTTATTTATTATTGAAGGCTCTCTACTCGAACACTTGTGGGTGTGTTAGAGCCTATGGCGAGATGTCCAGGGAGCTATGCTCATTGAGTGGTGTCCGTCGACGGTGCCCACCCTCTCCATTCTTATTCAATTTTATCATAGATATTCTCATGGAGGTCTCCCTCTCGTCACCTGATTACATAGAGGTTGACCTAATCGCGGGAGAATTTTAGTTAGACCTAGAATATGCAGATGACATAGTCCTGTTAGGTGAAGACGCTGACAAGATGCAGAGCCTTCTGGACACTTTGAGGATGTTTGGGATGCGTTTTCACCACCCAAATCCAGATTATTGCTACAGGATTGGTCTTCATGGTGCCTCGGCTAACATAGAGAGTGAAGTGGTTGAGTGTGTCGACCACTTCACTTACCTGGGAAGTAGGGTCAGTCCTGGTGGCTCACTGGTCGATGAAATCTCCGCACAGATACAAAAGGCCCGGCTGGCTTTCGCTAACTTACGCCACCTGTGTGCCGCCGTGATATCCAATTGTCTATTAAGGGTCGCGTGTACTGCACAGCAGTCCAGTCTATTCTACTGTATGGCTGTGAAGCATCCCCATTGAAGGTGGAAGATATGAGAAGGCTGGCTTCAGGTGTTTGACCACCGTTGCTTTCGTAGTATAGGCCGTATTCCGTGGTGTCACCGGGTGAGTAACGCAGAAGTCAGGCTCAAGTGTAAGGTTTTAGGGGAAGCGGTAATCAATTGTGAACATTTATCGACTGAGATGGTTAGGACACGTGTTATTACATATGCCTGCCTAGTCGCCGATCGCCTCGTCACACAATGTTGGCTGAAGTATAGGTTCAGGCTGGAAAAAGGCTCGAGGCAGGTAGCCTAAAACATGGCATCAATGTATGAAGTCTTTGACTCTTGGTTTGAGCCATGTCGGGCGATGTAGACTGGGTGGTTGGGTTCGTGGGCAGGAGAAACCAGTGGTTGGAGACTCTAGGTGATATGCCTGAGAATCGATGTCAGTAGCGCAGATGTATATACACATTATTCTCATCTTAACGACGCTATACCGAATCTCACCATTTTCTCATTCTTCCTTTCTCTCTTTTCGTACTTTATATTTCTTCTGACTGAATTTTCTTATCTTCACCTTGCACTTCACTGGCTTTTTACTTGATATACTGATATGAGTTGTGGCAACTCGGAGCGTTACGCAGTAATGCCTGGTCCTATTTTGATATTCGGGATGATGATTTCTTTAAATCCTTGATTTTTTTCACTTGTTATTGCCATACAACTGTTAATTGGAATATTTGTTGAAAATTCAAGATATAGGACGCCAAAATCCTGTCACTAACTTAGTAAAGTTTTTAAACTTTTTCTAATCAGCAAAGCTAAGTCATGATTTCACTAATGTGGAAGAAAAATGAAACACCTTGGGAATAATGAAGCCGTTTTTGAAATTTTATTGATGTAACTGAATTCATCTATGTAATGGTAGTTTTAAGTATGGAGTTAAATTAACTGAATGAAAAGTGAATGCCTTCACTAAAGAAAAGCATTATATGTTCACTGCTTTATGGTAATATATCAGTCAAACAACATTTGTATACGATAATTTGTCGAAGGACTGAAGTACACTCAGCAATAACCTGCACATTCGTACAATAGACAATGAGCCGTACTTGTTACATGAAAACTAATGACAGCCCCTGGCTTCCCAGACCTCAGTAGCTGAGCCTGGATTCAGACCCAAAGCCTATTGGCTAGAAGTCAACTGCTCAGACAAATGATCCGCATCTACAATCCGTTCGTGATTTAATTTTTAATACTGCCTTCAAGAAAGGAATGGTCTGTAGCGCCTAAGGTGTTCTTTATACAGTTTTCATTGTTAGGTTAACAAAGACTTCAAATCATCCCAATTCCTGTAAAATTAGTCTAAGGCTATGGAATTCACTCTCTATCAACACTTTATTTTGACACATGTCCATGAGTCTCCAACTTCTGCGTCGCTGAAAATTGTCAGGTAATTCATCTCCTCTTGTATTTTATAAACTCCTGCAGCTTGCCTGTTCTCTTCTATTGTTCTCTTGTATTCCTTCTAGAGTTGCTGAAAAAAGACTT